GGCTCCCTCCGGCCTGGCCGAGCACCCCCGGCTCTGGCCCGGCCCCAACCGAGCGCCCCGGGCCGGCTCGGGCCCCGCGGTGCCGGCCCAGCTCTGGCAGAGCACCTTCGGCTCCGGCCCCGCGGCTCCGGCCCGGCCGAGCGCCCCAGCCCGCCTTAGGTCCTGCAGCGCCGGGCCCAGTCCCGGCCGAGCGGCTCCGGCCCGGCCTGGGCCCCGTGGCGCCGGGCCCAGCGGACCCGGCCGAGCGGCTCCAGGCAGCGCGGTAAGGGAGCAGGGAGGGGATGTTGGAAGAGGGCTGGGGAATTCGGGGGGTTGGGAGGGGTGGATAGGGATCGGGGCAGTCAGAGAGCAGGGAACAGGGGGATTGAATGGGGGCAAGGGTCCGGGGGGGGCAGTCAGGAAGGAGTAGAGGTTGGATGAGGTGGTGGGGGGCAGTCAGGGGCAGTTGGGGACAGAGAGAAGGGGTGGTTGGATGGGGCAGGGGTCTCGGGGGGCCTCAAGGAACGTGGCGGGTTGGAGGGGGCAGGAGTCCCAGGGTCGGGGGGGCACGACCCTCTCATGGGGTGAGGAGGAGGGAACCTGTTAATATTTTAGCAGCTCATCACTGAATCCAGGGTAGCGCCTATAATGTTTTTTTGTTTTGGGGTTTGTTTTTTTGGATTGCAATTAGAATAGATTTCTTGTAACTTATGAGAAGGCCCAGAGATTGGAAGAAGTGGTGCTTTGGAGGTTGCCAACTGAAGCTGTAGGTCTGACTGGCCTATGATCAGCCAGTTGTCCAAGTATGGGAATACTGCAATGCCCCAGTGACAAAGGCGAGCTGCTATGGCTAAAAGGATATTTGTAAAGACCCTCAAGGCCATGGAGAACTCAAAGGGGAGGGCTCAATATTGGTAGTGATATTATCCTATTACAAAGTGTAGAAAACACTTGTGGGAATGGTGGATGGCTACCTGAAAGCAGACATCTTGTAGATCAAGGGCAACAAACCAGTCTTCCAGATCTAGGAATAGAATAATGGTTGCTAGAGTCACCATTCTGAAAAGCTGTACAAGGACATAGTGGTTCAAATTCCTGAAGTCGAGGATTTGTCTCCACCTTCTGTGCCTCTTGAGGACTAGGAAATAGCTGGAATAGAACCCTCTTCTGACAAACTCGGGTGGTACCAGTTCTATCACCCCCAATAATAAGAGACTACCGCCTGTTGTAGGAGCTCCTTGTGAGAAAGGTCCCTAAAGAGAGGGGGTGGGGGGTAGAGTGGACGTTTACAGTGTAACCCACTTTGACGACCGCCAAAATGCATTTGTCTAAAGTGATGTGTTCCCAGGCAAGTAGGAATTGGGACAGGCAGTTTTCAAAGCTCGGCTGGATGGAACAATCGCACCGCATAGAATGTGGTGGAGGAGGCTGCTTGATGCCCTCAACTGAGGTATCAAAACTGCCTCTTAGAGAGAGGCGCAGACTGGATAGTTGTAGAGGCAGATGGACCTCTCTTTTGGGGTTTAGGTCTTCTCCTGAAGGGCTCCAGGGTTTGGGGAAGGCATGATGGTATTGAAAGAGCCTGGATTGTTGAGTGGTTTGAGATCTGCTAAAACATATTTATGTTGCAGGGACATAAATTCCAAAAGATCAGAGTGTTGCCCTGGAGTCCTCAGGCTGTGGAAAGAGGAGTCCAGGTGCTCAATGAAAAGCTTGGGCCCTTCACTGGAAATGTCATCTACAGTGTTCTGCTCCTTTCTCATGAGGCGAGAAGACTGAAACCAAGATGTTCTTCTCATAATCACAGCCATGGTCATGGATTTAGAGCATCTAGAGCAGCCTGCAGGCAACTAACTGGCCTTCAGAAATGAGGGACAGAATTTGGTGTCTCTTGTCTTGTGGCAGGTGTTCAATAAAGTGTGTGAATTTCGAGTAACTGTTGAAATCCTATTTCATCATCAAGGCCTGATAGTCGGCAATTCGAAATTGAAGAGCAGATGATGAGTAGTATTTCCTGTCTAGTAAGTCCAGTTGTTTGGACTCCTCATCCAGAGGAGGTCTAAAGCAAGTCTGACTGTTCCCTTTGCTGGCTATGTCCACTCTTAGGGAATTAGGGGTAGGATAGGAGAAAAGGTGCTCCATTCCCTTAGGTGGAATAGAAATTTTTTTTTTCATCTGTCCACTTACAGGTGGGTAGAACTGTGGCAGGTGTTTGCCACAGAGTGTGAGCGGGAGATAATAATCTTTCCCTTGGGATTGATGTTAAAATACTCACCAAAGAGAGTGCTGGGACTCCTGGCCTTCTTCCAAGAGGATCAGTACAGAGTTTGCCAGGCACTTCATGAGGTCCTAGAAGGCCCTCAAGTCATCAGCACATGATGGTGGCAGTGGCATTGCTGCCTCCTCTGGAGAATGAGGACCAGCTGGCTGAGGAAGCGAGACCTCTTCAATCTGTGGTTCTTTCTTCTCCTGTGTACCATCTAATACTGATAAAGCGTGTGGTACTGGAGACTGGTTTATCAGTACTGGAGGGTGATACAGTACTGCTGGGAGCTGAAGTTTCTTTTTGGATGACATCCTGAAGAATTGTTCTTCAAAGCGGCCCTGTGATTCCAGCAGGCACAGTGTAGAGGGGGAATCAGAGAGGGGGTCACCAAATATGGTCACAGTCCCAAGACCTAGGAGGTTTGGTTAGTTTTGGGAGACCCTCCTCATTAAATGGGCTCACAGGAGCATCACAGTATGGTACAGAGGTTAGGGAGAACTAAATTTGGGGCGGGCCTCACATATTGTTACCAGTACCAAAAGATTGGAGGCTCAACTGAGAATTGGCGTGCAGGCGCCAGGGGTAAAACTATTCCCTCTCCCCTCCCCCCAGAGCACAACTGTGCTACAGTTGAAATAAAACCAATGAAATAAAATAAAGCAAGTAAAGGTTTCACAGGGAAAAGGCAGGAAGCTGAAAACAGCGGACATCAAATTGCTCTGTCTTGAACTGCAGGTAGTTAAGAAGGAGCTGAGTAGGGGCGGGCCCACATCTCCTCATATGACCTCATAGGGAGACATGAGGCACTACTCTTCACTGGTGCGGACCCATGGAGACTATTCTGTATTCTCCAGTTAAGAGTGCATGGGCACGCACACATCCAACGGAGGAGCACCCATAGAGACATATACTCAAAGAACTAAGAGTTCTCAAGAAACTTAAGAGTAAAATGGCTGAGCTGCTTCTAAAAATATGTAATCATTAATATCAGCTACTATACTGGAAGGTTATGAGTAACTAATGGCTATTAGCCAGGATGGGCAGGAATGGTGTCCCTAGCCTCTATTTGCCAGAAGCTGGGAATGAGCGACAGGGGATGGATCACTTGATGATTACCTGTTCTGTTCATTCCCTCTGGGGCACCTGGCACTGTCCACTGTCGGAAGACAGGATACTGGGCTAGATGGATCTTTGGTCTGACCCAGCAGGGCCATTCTTATGTTCTTATATTCTAACTATTAAAAAAGAAAAAGGCACTAAAGGTGATGCTAGGATTTACAGACCCATGATCCTTACTTCAGTACCAGGAGAATAAGTAGAAATGATTATTAAAATTAGAATAAAAAAACCACACCTAGATGAAAATGATAATGGGAACAAAGAACTGGGCATCACTGTGGATAGTTCACTGAAAAATATCTTCCATGCACACTGGTGGTCAAAAATAGCAAACAATATTAAGATGAATAAAGAATGTAACAGAAAAATAACTGATAATTTTATAATACTCTGAGTCAATGGTATGCCCTAACCCAAAATACTGTGTTCAGTCCTGGTTACCTTATCTCAAAACAGATATAGTGAAAACAGAAGGGTTTTAAAGGGGGGGGGGGTGATGAAAATGTCTAGAAGCATACAGAAACTGCCACAAGGAGAGATTAAAAAGACCGAGACTCAGGGAAGACATATAATAAGGTGCATCATAAAAAAGTATAAAAAAATAACGTTTAGTATAAAGAAAGTAAATGGGATGATCCTATTTACACACACAATATAAAAATGAGGGGTCATGCAATTAAATTTTAAAAGGCAACATATTTAAAATATACAAAAGGAAATTCTTTAACATGGTGCACAACCTGTGGAACTGATTGGCACAATACACCATTGAGGCCAAGAGTAGAGCAGGATTCAAAAAAGGATTACATATTTATATGGTTAATGAGACTATCTCCCGTTCCTAAGGTACTGGAAAGACAGGGAGAGTTATTCCATAACTGTGCACTTCAGAATTTTTTTGTGATTTCCTTTAAAACAGCGGTACTGACTACAGAAAGGATATAGAACTATCTGGATCACTAGTCTAATCTGATAGGAATTATTATATATTCTTAAAACAGCTGGCAATGACCTTTTATTTTAAAATGTTTTATTGTGAAGCCAAATTACTTCTGAGATTTTGACATATCCAAATGAAATGCTTCTAAGTACCTGTAACTAGTTTAGTTGATTCTTCAGTTAGTCCGTTAGTATTTTAGAATTTATTTATACATTTATAATTTAAATGACAAATTACATTTGTAGAATCACCTGATTGAACCAACACAAATCATCATCAATACACCACACAGAGAAAACAAAATTATATATATATTTGTATATTGTTGAGATTTCACTGCTGTACAGCAACTGCCATTTATTTAATATTATGTCTGATATATATTCGGTCTATGAAATTTATTTAAAAAAACATATGTTCTGGTAAATAAATATTCTTGGAAATCAATTCAGGTTTGTATTGCTTTTCTGCCTTGTGATCTTGAGCCATTCTCAGAGTCAAGAGACAGTTTGACTTCATCAAAATCAAAACTATTACAATGACTATGGTCTACTCTACAACACAAAGTTTGTCAGGGTGATCTATGTCAGTGCCCCAAATTCAGATTTGTTGGGTTTCTTAATAACGTTTCTACAGGAGTTGCTGTGAAGCACATGGGCTCATATGAGATAAAAGAAGTAACTAATGAAATCATACCCATTAGTTTTTTCTGGTCCAGCAAGAAATGCCCAGTGTGCCAAGACTCCAAGAGAACCTGAAAGAAGGTCCCCTTGTCCACCACATCTTCGGCTGCTTCCTTCATGACTGCATACAAGTACTACAAAGAAACCAAAAACAAAGGGTCATGTATACTTACCCTCTATTTATGTGACATACTACCATGGCTGTGAGGGCTGAGGAAACACAGGAAATGCAAGGTATGCTAGAACATTTCTTCTCTGAGGAGAGACACTGTCAGGTTAGAATTTACTTTAAAGACGACGCCATCACCCATTTCTAAAAAAACATCTTTCAATGATTAAAAGCAAAATCATTTAAAAATAAAACTTTTTATCTAGTATGCAGTTTACTTTTTCCATTCCTCTCAGCATGGAAAATAGACTCTGTCTCTAGCCAATTTCACATGTAGGTTTTCATGCACTATTATTAATTATATTACCATAATGACCAGAAGCCCCAATCAGGGCTGAGTCTCCACTGTATGAGCCATTGTACAGACACAAAGCACAAAAAAGTCTCACCTGAAGAGTTTACGAATCTGACAAGTGATTTACAAAGACGGAGCAGGGGAAAGAAATATAATTAGAAACCAACCAACCAACTTGTAGTGTTTCGGTTGTAAATACTGCTTGGAATTTTGTTTTTGTTTTTTAAATAAAACCTACATCGTGGGCAAAATTTGATCAACGTATCCCTTTCAAAAGCCATAAATAATTATCAAAACATTAACATCTTATAGTATCTGCATTAACTGTCCCAATAAAAGGGGGTAGGCAATTTTTAAAAAATTAACAGAAGATTAGGGCACAGAAGTTTTCTGGGTCTCTTAACACACTGTAAACTCTCAGGAGAAAGGGCTGTGGGTAAAATTTTCAAAAGCATCTAAAAGTCATTTAGGAGCCAAAGTCCCACTGAACATTAATGAGACTCAAGCACTTTGGAAAATGAGACAAAGGTTCTTCTGAAATTTTTTACTTTGTGTGCATCATATAGCACTAATATTATCACGGACACCATATAAATTACATTAATACCCACTCAGTCTACAGATACAATGCTCAACATGAAATGATTGAGAGAACAATTTTTTTTTTTTTTTAAACAGAAACTTGTTACAAAGGTTAATATTGGAATCCAGCATCTATCAGGCTATTTCAAGTAGCCTGCACTTCCCACAAAAGGTTGTCTGCAAAACAAATTACATTTTATAGGAATGAGGAGAAATTATTGCAAAGCGCTGTTAATGTAGCTATAGAAATTGAATTTTCCCATTACCTTAATTTCTGCAACTTTAACTTGGCCACACTGAATGTATTTAGAACGGTTTATTTTGGCTTTTCCTTGTTAAGTATGTAATGAAATAGTTCTGTCTGTTGTTAAATGTAAGAAACTACACAGTACATTCACCACAGTCATGTTATCACTGTTGTAGAAGCCACCTAGAAGACAGAGCACTGGATTGATACTCAGGATACCTGGATTCAAATCCTGGCTGTGCCACTGGCCTGCCAGTGACCTTGGCAAGTCATTTAATTTCTCTGTACCTCAGTTTCCCCATATGTAAAATGGGAATGATGCTTATCTCCCTTTTATAAAGTGCTTTGAGATCTACTGATAAACTATATAAGCAATGGGTATTACTATTTTTATAAATGTTAATTGTGACACCCTTATGTTGCATTACTTTTGTGTGGGGGGTGTGTGTGTGTGTGCTTTTTTCCTTTTATTTAGGGAAGAGATTGCCTGTGCTTAATAGGTTCCAGGTAGCATTTAAAGTTATTTTCTTATGGGGAGGGGGGGGGGAAGAGAAGGGGCAAGTTCAGACCTTTGCAACTGAGATTTTCTTCTGTTCTTTGTCAACAGTTTTACTATGGAAAGGTTAGGTCACAGTATTAGATTTTGCATTTTTACTCTGAAGGCACCCAGCTTCATGGAGTGAATTCAAGATAGTATGGGCATGAAATAGTTTAGCTGTAATCTAACGCCTACTGCCCACAGGATCACTTTCCTCCATTCTAGACATACTGAGCTGCAAGGGCTCACAAAGCAAATAAAAAGAAAACAAAATGAATTCAGGCACATCCCCTCCAAAACCCCTCCTCCAGGGAAACAACCAGACTCACCCTCTTCTCTCTTTGTTGTTGGGCTATGGGGCAAGGGTCACAAAGCCTCTCCCAGATCCAGAATAAACAGAATCTTTCCCAGCAGGGAAGCAATTACTTGGGACATCAACCCCTGCTCCAAGTCTCTAACGTCCACCTCTGGGTCCTGACCTCGACTTCCCCAAGACCCCTGAACATTACTGTTCATCTAAAATACCTGAGCTGCTCTCACTTGAATTTTCTGCAAGAGGAACCACTGAACCTTTTTATTTAGAAAGTGGGGCAATTCGCATGAAACATTGGGGAAATTTATTTGCATGTGCTTAAACAATAGCATTTAAAATCCGGTTATCACAATCACACCCTTTCCAGTTCAGCTCTAAGGCTGTACGCTCTCTTTGTTGGTGGGTGTGGCAGAGAAATATACTATGAGCCCCTCTCTCTCCTGCCAGTTGTCTCAGCAGTAATCCATCTGGGCTCATCAGGCCAAGCAAGTGTGCTTTGTTGGTGTCATCAAGAGGGCATGGATTCATTAATCACTAACAACATTTTAGCAGATGCCACCACAACATGCCCAGAAGTTAATTTTTCAATCACTCCTCCCTCCACCTTCGGTTATGGATGTGTTTCTCATTGTGTACTATTTGTGTGTCAAGTTTCAAAGGTCAGAGGTATTTTTTTTAATTAGCTGTGTGACAAAGGTGATATAGTTTGGGGGGAAATCTCTCTAATTCTGCTATTCTGAAGATAATATATCACAGGATTTTCACTGGAAGGTCTTGAACTCTTGGCAGGAGGCAGGATGGAAAATCCTCTGCTCAAAGCTTTTATTTTGGCCATCTGAGTTGCAGCTGACACAAGCTTATTAGCCATGTGTCACCATCTGCCACTACCTCACAGTCCCTTAGCCTTCTAGTCAGTTCTGAATTGTGCAGGAAGCAACTGCTCTTCAAACTAAGCCAATTATAAAATAAAACTATAAAGTAAAAGATTTCTGCAAGCCTCATATGTACACACCACCTAGAAGGTAACAAAAGCGTCCCCCCAAAACCATAAGCAGAGATGATGGGGCACAAATCAGCGAGGAAGCTTCAAAGAAGCAGAATTCCATGTATGTAACTTGCATAATGGGAAAAGGTACCATCATCCTCACAAGTCTCAGTCTTGGAGACTCAGTAACTCAAGATATATTTCAAGATAGAAGGTTGACACACTGCAGTAAGCGCATTGCGAAAAGGAAAAAAGACTGATGACCAGTATTAAGACCTGTGAACTTTTTAAATTAAAATAAATAAAAAGGAATAAAATACTTCCAAGCAACAACAAAGGCATAAACTGACGGACTGGCAGAGCCTCAGAGGATATGTCTTTGTGATGCTTTTTCAAAAATTTGGCTAGTTCAGTTAGAGATCTCTTTGACCCCCACAAAGGAACTGTAAGGCACCTGGTCTTGGAAACAGGTTCTGCAGTACTAAGAATTTAGATCGGGGATCTTCCCCAGAGGCCAAATCTAAGCAACAGATGTTTGTAAAAATGGGCAGGGACGACCATGTGGCTGACCTTCCATACACCCTGCATGGAGCAGTGGCAGCTAGTAGCAATGGTGTTGGCCCATCACTAGACAGAGGTGGTATAACTTATTAAATGGTGCAGAAAAGAATTCAATAAATATTTCTGTTCTGTATTTGGAAAGAAGCAGGATGATGCACTTGTATCATAAAAGAATGAAGTACTTTCCAAACCATTAGTTACTAAAGAGGATGTTAGACAAGAATTGCAAGGCATAAACATTTTAAAATCAGCAGGCTAACTTGCACTTGAGTCCTAAAAGAGTTGGCTGAAGAGATGTCTCACCCGCTCATGTTAATTATAATAAATCACAGTATACTGGGGAAATTCTAGAAGACTGGAAGAGTGCTAATGTGCCAATTTCCAAAAACGGCAAGCAGGATGATCTAGGTAACTGCAGGTTGGTTAGCCTGACATCAATCCCAGAAAATGTAACAGAAAAGCTGATATGGGATTCAACTGATAAACAATAGGAATATAAATTAATACCAGTCAACATTGTTTTATAGAAAATAGGTCCTGGCAAAGAAACCTGATTCCATTCTTTGGAGAGATTGTAAATTTGGTTGATAACGATAACTCCATTGATATAATAAACTTAGACTTCTTGTAAGGTGTTTCACTTAGTATATCACGACGCTCATTATAAAACTGGAATTATACAACATTAATGGAGCTCTTGTTAAACAGATTAAAAAACTGGCTGACAACTACCTCTTTAGATTTGTCAATGGAGAATCATCATGGAATGGGGTGTTTCCACTAGGACTCTAGCTACAAGCTCAACACTATTCAACATTTTTATCAATAATCTAGAAGTAAATATAAAATCTGCGAATGACAGATTGGCAAAAAGGTAAATAATAATGAGGACAGGGTAGTCATACGGAGCAATCTGTATCTCTCTGTAACCTAGGCCCATGCAAACAAAATGCATTTTGATACAGCCAAATTCAAAGAATGCAGGCCACACCTACAGAATGGGGAACTGCATCTTGGAAAGCAGTCACTCTGAAAAGGCACCACAGTGGACAAACAACTGAACTTGAGCTCCCAGCACAATACTGAGGCAAAATGGGCTAATGCCATCCTTGGACCTATACCCAGGGGAGAAGTGAATAGAAGTACGGAGATTATTTTACCTCTGTACACAGCACTGGTGAAACAGATACTGGAACACTGTGTCCACTTCTGGTGCCCACATTTTAAAAACGATGTTGAAAAATTGGAGATGGTGCAGAAAAGAGCCACAAAAGTTATTTGAGGGATAGGAAATGCCTTACGGTGGAAGACTCAAATAGCTCAATCTGTATATCTTATCAAAAAGAAGATGAAGAGGTGATTTGATTACAGTGTGTAAGTACCTTCACAGAGAGAAAATAAGAGGTATAAAGGGGCTTTTTAGTGGAGAAAGGCTTAACAAGAA